CGAAACAACCTATAACGCTATTAACGCATAGTAAAGAAATATTGTTTTTTTACGGCGAATATGGCATTTGTATCTTGTTATTAACTTTATATATTACCGATAAAGATATGGACGTTTAGGATGTGAGAAAATATACACTATATCGGCGCAAATTTGTGGTATTTCATAAGGTGAGTTGATGTTTCATGATGTCATATGCCAACATGCTGATCGAGTGTGTTATTATATACAACGTATAAGCCTTTATTTGTTAGCCTTCGTTAGCCTTTATTCCACCCTATTATAGATCAAGAATTGTATTTTCATCGTTCAATGATTTGCGCTATGATTTTCCATGTTATTATCTGTTTATATAGTTAAATAGTTGGCTATAGCACTAATATAGCAGGAATAGCTAAACAATACCTTAGAATTCCTCAGCAATTATGGCCTAGAATACCTCAGAGGAGCAAAATAGAATAGTCCAATGTTGTGATATATATAACTAAGGAGCAGCATATGGCAGTGTTTCTAATGTCTTTGTTTGAAATGAAGGAAAGGAGTTGAGTTGTATTTTCAGATTGATACTAATTACTAAATCCAGAGGGGTTAACTAATGTAACAGTGCTTCTCCACAGTAGGGTTGAGACTGTTCCAAAGGGTATAAATTGTGCATCAGAGTCTGCTCTATTTTGCCTTCAGATACATTTATCCATCCATATTTTGTTAGGGACAATTTTTGGATTTAACACCATTTGATTTCATTGGATAAGGCCTCTATCTATATATTGTTTGAATTAATTACATGTATTTTCATGGTGAATTGATTAGAATTTAAACTATCATAGGGAGGTAGAAAAGCAGTGTAGAATGGGTTTAAGGATGGGCATATTTGATAATGGTCTTAAAGTAGTTTTCTTAAAGATGCCGGTATTGCAAGCGATAGCTAAAGAATAGCTTAAAATTCCCCAGAGTAGCTAAATTATTATTTACCAGTATTTTTTGTTTGATGTACTCAATTCCTAACATGATTGCAAAGTTTTATTTTAAGTTAAGTGTGAACTTAGGATTTACTTCACACCAATTTTTAAATTATTTACTCTCAAATTTATCTGATGATGTCTCGTCTGATTTTAAGGACCACAAAAATCCTTTTGCAATAATTGATTTGTACTGCAATAATTGATATTTGGAAACATGTCAAATAAACACTGGACAAATACAAAACCTTCAAAGCCGGAGTGCAATATTATATATAATCATGCATTTCTCTGTATTTCTATATAATCATGTAGGGCCTATAATTCTCATGTATTAATGTCTGCTGTGTATTCTATATTATGACTGATGAATATTTTAGTAAATTTACATTACATTCTTACTTATAACAAAATATCATGTCAGAGGTTCTAGGGTTTCTTGAGAATTAACTTTTCTTATTATAAGAAAATATTTTCTTGGAAATATTTCTTAAGACAAATTTCTTAAGAAAATTTTTCTCTATATGAACATTCTATAAGAAATTTTGGACTAATTTCAAGAAAATTTTCTTAAACTGAGAAATTATTTGTGTGCAATTTTTCTTATTCTAAGAAAATTTTCTTAAGAAAAAATTTCTTAAGAAAAACAGTAAGAAAATTTTCTTATTATTCTCCCAAGAAAATTTGAACTCATTTTAAGAAAATTTTCTTAAAATGAGTTTTTTTTTTCTTGAAATAAGAAAATGATTTTTTGCTGTGTGTTCCGCGTCGTACGTGGGTCAAACCACGTGTCATTTACACACCAGAATATCAGAGCACTTGAGAATATCATCTATCACTGGTAAACAGACCTCAAGCCCTGTTATGTCCAGTATACATTCGCACCTAAAGGCTTGCGGACACCCGGCTAGCTTTGACGAATTTAGAATCCTCTCTTCCTCACTTGACTCTTATGAGCTAATGATACATGAGAGTCTCCTCATCACCAAACTTAAGCCTTCTCTTAATGTTTAAGGCAACTCTATCCCTTTCAATTTATTTTAGTCCTTACTTCGTATTGTCATCGTGTCGTGACGTCTCTGTCTCTTGTCCTCTCATGTACCGCTTGTTCTTACGTTGTCCTTGTTATCACCTTTTGTAAATTGATACCTTGTATCAATATTTTCAAGATCACTATTTACCTTCGTAACCAGATCGCAGCAGTCATTAGAGGATGCAAAAATTTCGGTGTCATCATCATAGAGGGAAGGTGTTGAGTGAAAGTACTACCGCTTAAAGCCGTAACAAACGAAGGAGTGTATAACGTACCTTGTTGAGCCAGAAACGAGTTATCTTGGTGTGGTGGAAGTGGATTGGAGCGCATCCCCCAATTGTTCCAAATGCGTCGTAGAGTGATGGAAAGACGTGGACGCAACGCTACCCATTGCGCTCTGAAGCCCTGAGAGAAACTCTGGTGACTGAAAGGAAGCGCTCCAGTTGATTTTGGTGCCCGTTGCAGTTGGGGTAGAAGACTCTCCCAAAGACGCATCAGCCGTGTGTAAATCCATTAGGACGAAGTTTAGGTTCTTTCAATGTAAACCATTAAAAATTTTTGTTAGTCTTGTTACACTTTGCGTGCCGAGCAACTAATGACCGCAAAGGGAGGGAGCACGCAATATAACACGTGGGCTGACTTAGAGCACCTCGACAGGAACACCTAACTTCCAGATCACGCGTGCTTTCCTCGCTATTAACTTTTGTTATTGAATAACCTCATTAAACTCGAGCCCGCAAGTCGCTGGTAATCAAGCCAGCAGTTAGAGTAATGATTTGAGTTCTTTAAAGATGAGGTAAAGTCCGTTCTGCGCATATATTCCGCGCAGCAACACATTCCATCAGTGGGGGAGCAACTTTTGGAATGTTAATGAATGCGATATTTGCGCGTTGTATTACAAACGGCAGTTCGGGAGCACAATTATTCTATTTTATGTCGCAAGGCGAAGAGGCTCGAATTACGAGTGACGAAGATAACTTATCTTATCATAAGGCTGCTAGAAAAAAGCCAGATTATGCTGAAACGAATGCTCCAAGAATTTATTTGTTGAATGAGAACACGAGATGGCGAGGCTATTTGTCGTCGCTACAGACGCTACCTTCTCGCTTGTCCTACAATTACAAATACATAGTGTTAAATAACGGCCGGTTTATTTACAAGCTTCGCTTTATATTTTCTTCAAAATATAATAAGATTTTCTTCAAAATATTATATAAAATAAACATATTCATCACAGATCACAGCCGGTCGAGCGAGAAGAAAATAAGAAAATTAAAACGATTCATACGTCATGTAAAGATTATATAACCAACGTAAACAAACATTGTTATGCCCAGAATATATGCGCAGAACGGACTTTACATCATCTTTAATATTTCGTATGTACTTGTGAAGTTTTCGACATCCTAATTGTACTTTCTTTAGTCTTTTTTTAATAAACTTGTAAATTCCAAATAGTTTATCTTCCAATTTAGCTTGTGATTGCCCATGCACACAAACAGTAAATTCTGAAGTTGAAGAAGGCCAGGACGAGAAGATCTTAGTCAGTTGGACAGAACCAAAGCCTAGGTGCCCGACCACACCAAATCCCGCTAATCCAAAACTTACTGGCTTGTTTTCTATTGGTAATTACGCACGGTACTACAATTACACGTACAGCAACAAGTATCAAACATTTGGCATCCAATGTCACGTAAGAATTGGTGTCACAGGTATGCTCGTCACTCTAATAATAATCCCAATTGTTTCACCTTACTTAACTTGTACGGAATGCTATAGCGTAACGTGTATTCAAATTTCGCATGGTTTAAATAGTTAATTAAAAAAATGTTGTACTCTATAAACCTTAAACGCCTAAACGTAAAATCCGATAAACAAGCGTGCAACGTGTACAAATACCAAGCTTTAACTGTGTGGAACAGTGTCGGAATAATAGATAGAGTTCGAATTAAATTTTTCACTTGGAGATCTGTTAAAAAACAATAGACAGAAACCTACGGGCCTGAGAAACGAAATCAGAATTTTTTGTGATATTAGTTTCACTTTAAAATTAATTCCACTATTCAAAGCATCACCGTAAGCTTGACTTTAAATATTCCAGCCTATAAAACGCTGAGGTTACAAGGATCTTTAAGTAAAAATGGAACAGGACGTGTTGAAGTGTTCTTCAATAGAGAATGGGGAACAATCTGTGAAGATGGATGGGATTTCAACGATGCTAGAGTTGTTTGTCATCAACTTGGTTATCAAGATGCTGTTAGAGCTCTTCAGGGAGATCATATTCCTGATGGTTCTGGACGGATATGGTTAGACGAGGTTGAATGCAAAGGAATGGAGCAAAATTTGATAAGTTGTTCTCATAGAGGATGGGGAGAACATGATTGCAGTCATGAGAAAGACGCTGGAGTAGAATGTTTTTCACCAGGTAAAGATACAAAAAAATAAACTTGTTAAGGTGGCTGTATAAGCATATATTTGAAAAACGCAAATGTTTTCCTATTTCTCACTCAAAAGTAATTTTTCCTCCTGCCAAAAACTTGACCTAGTAGTTTTTGAAAATGGTTTGAATTAGGTAGACGATTTAACGGCATTTATACGTGACAGAGGTTCAACACCGTCTGTTAACTCGGATTTAAATTGTGCAATTGTCTGTGTAACTATATTATCAGGATTGTGAACTTTAATGCCGGTGATTACGCAAAGTACGAGTCGATAACTATGATTTCTATCGTAATGAAACATTTCGCATGAAGTTTGCGTTGTATTAGTTACAATTTCTGCTTACTTACAGAAGAGAATGAATGATCGTATTTTATGCTACTAGAAATTTGCAAAATCGTTTCATTGCGAACATGATACCAGTTTATAATCTTTCTTATTTACTGCGACGCAATGCCTCAAGCTCGCCTTTGGCGTCTCATCTTTTGTTAACAGAAGAACCTTACTGGAAAAATTCACGTCGCGTAGTTACCACGAATCTGCGCTTAGGAGGGAATAAGACTGTTATTATGTCGAATGCAAATAAAAAGATATCAAACAAAATGAGGTTACAAGGATCTGTAAGCAAAAATAGAACAGGACGTGTTGAAGTGTTCTTCAATGGACAATGGGGAACAATCTGTGATGACGAATGGGATTTCAAAGATGCTAGAGTTGTTTGTCGTCAACTTGGTTATCAAGATGCTGTTAGAGCTCTTCACGGAGGTCAGGTTCCTCATGGTTCTGGACGGATATGGTTAGACGAGGTTGGATGCAAAGGAATGGAACAAAAATTGATAAGGTGTTCTCATCTAGGATGGGGAGTACATGATTGCAGTCATGACGAAGACGCTGGAGTAGAATGTTTTTCACCAGGTAAAGATACAAAAAATAAACTTGTTAAGGTGGCTGTATGGGCATATATTTAAAAAAAGCAAATGTTTTCCTATTTCTCACTTAAAAGTAATTTTTCCTCCTGCCAGAAACTTGACCTAGTAAATTTTTGAAGATGGGTTGAATTAGGTGGACGACTTAACGGCATTTATACCTGAGGTTCAACAGCGTCTGTTAACTCGGATTTAAATTGTGCAATTGTCTGTGTAACTATATTATCAGGATTGTGAACTTATATGCCGGTGATCACGCAAAGTACGAGTCGATGACTATGATTTCTATCGTAATGAAACATTTCGCATGAAGTTGGGCGTGTATTAGCTACAATTTCTGCTTACTTACAGAAGAGAATGAATGATCGTATTTTACGCTACTAGAAATTTGCAAAATGGTTTCATTGCGAACATGATACAAGTTTTTAATCTTTCTTATTTACTGCGACGCAATGCCTCAAGCTCGCCTTTGGCGTCTCATCTTTTGTTGACAGAAGAACCTTACTGGAAAAATTCACGTCGCGTAGTTACCACGAATCTGCACTTAAGAGGGAATAAGACTGTTAATATGTCGAATGCAAATAAAAAGATATCAAACAAAACGAGGATACAAGGATCTGTAAGTAAAAATGGAACAGGACGTGTTGAAGTGTTCTTCAATGGACAATGGGGAACAATCTGTGATGACGGATGGGATTTCAAAGATGCTAGAGTTGTTTGTCGTCAACTTGGTTATCAAGATGCTGTTAGAGCTCTTCACGGAGGTAAGGTTCCTCATGGTTCAGGACGGATATGGCTAGATGAGGTTGACTGCCAAGGAATGGAGCAAAATTTGATAAGTTGTTCTCACAATGGATGGGGAGAACATGATTGCAGGCACTCCGAAGACGCTGGAGTAGAATGTTCTTCAACAGGCAAAGGTACAGAAAATAACAACATATTAAGGTAGCTCAATGAGCATATATCTAACAGTGTTCGTTAACTCGGACTTTGGAGACCTTACACAAAGAGTCTGGCACCTTCGTAATGGCGTGTAAGAAATGGCATTGCTCCCGCTGTTTCTAATCTATGCATATAAATGGATTAGCAAAAGCGGAAGCAACGCCATTTCTACACGCCATTACGAAGGTGTCGTCCTGTTTGCGTAAGGTTTCCATTATCTGTGGAATAGACCTATTTCATAATGATGTCAAACGCGGAAAGTCAGGTGTTACACGAAGTTTGATTGGCTCGATAGTTTTGAGGAGCCAATCAAATTCCGTGTAACATAAGACTTTCCGCGTTTGACGTCTTAAACGAAAGTCTTTTGTCTGTGTAACTCTATTATCAGGCTTGTGTACTTTAATGCTGTTAATCACGAAAGTACGAGTCAATGACTATGATTTCTATCGAAAGCAAACATTTTGTATGAACTTGGGCGTGTATTAGCTACAATTTCTGCTTGCTTACCGGAAAGAATAAGTTATCTTATTAGAAAATTTGCTAAATCATTTTATTGGGAACATAATAGCCGTTTTTATAATCTTTCTTATTTGTTGTCACGTAATGTCGCAAGCTCGTCTTTGGTGTTTCATTTTTAGTGCAAAGTTTCTTTGAAACTTTGCAGAATTGTGATGTGTGGCGAAATTTCAAACGAGTCAGTCGGTCGATCGGTCGGTTGCTCGCTTGGTCTCTCGCTCGGTCGATCAGTCGGTCGCGTGAGAAACGAAAACAGAAATTTTCGTGATATTAGTTTCACTTTACTATTAATTTCACTATTCAAAGCATTAGCATAAGCTTCACTTTAAATATTCCAGCTTATAAAACGCTGAGGTTACAAGGACCTTTAAGTAAAAATGGAATTGGACGTGTTGAAGTGTTCTTCAATGGACAATGGGGAACAATCTGTGATAATGCATGGGATTTCAACGATGCGAGAGTTGTTTGTCGTCAACTTGGTTATCAAAATACTGTTAAAGCTCTTCAGGGAGGTCAGGTTCCTCCTGGTTCTGGACGGATATGGTTAAACTGGGTTCAATGCAAAGGAATGGAACAAAATTTGACAAGTTGTTTTCATAGAGGGTGGGGAGAACATGATTGCAGTCATTACGAAGATGCTGGAGTAGAATGTGTTTCAACAGGTAAAGTTACAAAAATAAACATGTTAAGGGGGCTCTCTGAGCATATTTCTGAAAAACGAAAATGTTTTCCTATTTCTCATTTTAAAGTGATTTTTTCCTGCTGTTCTGACACAATTTTAATTTTAAAAACTTGACCTACTAAATCTTTAAAAATGGGTTGAATTAGCTGGACGACTTAACGACATTTATACCTGAGGCTCAAAAGCGTGTGTTAACTCGGATTTAATCTGTGCAATTGTCTGTGTAACTGTATTATCAGGATTGTAAACTTTAATGCCGGTGATCACGCAAAGTACGAGTCAATGACTATGATTTCTATCGTAATGAAACATTTTGTATGAAGTTCGCCTTAAATTAGCTACAATTTCTGTTTACAGCAAAGAATATATAAGTTATCTAATTTTTGCGATGATAGAAAATTTGCTAAATCATTTCATCGTCAATATAATGCCAATTTTTTAAATATTTTGTTTCCCTCTCACGGATGTCGCAAACTCACCTTTAGCGTCTCATCTTTTGTTAAAACTCATTATGTGATCCGCCCTGTAATATCCGTCCCCGAGGACGGGTGAATTCAAAATTTAAAAACTTGGGCATAACGAATACTTGGGAAATGAAAATTCTACGACTGAATAGTAAATATCATAATCTTACTTTTGTGTTGATTTCGTAAATTTTCATCGCGTTTTAGGCGAGTTATCGAGATATTTCAACAAACAAATGTCTCACTCAATCATAAAGATGCATTTTGGCAAGTTTGATGCAATGCCTTATCTTTGTAGCGTTGTATCTTCGTTTCTTTTTAGCCAAAAGCGACGGTTCGCCCACCATTTTGTTTATAAAATTCTGCTCTATTTTTACAATTTTGACACAAATGATAGCGATATTATCTTTATTGAACGACGTTTCGATGCTAAAACGTGCATCATTTTCAAGTTATGATAATTACATTTAAATTGCGTTGATTTTAAACGGTTCATGTCACGTTAGTATATATTGCGCGAGCATGCTTAAGATCATGCAGTTGATTAGTTAAATTATATTAACTACATAAATTAGATCTAAATTTTGTCATTCTTACGCCTGTATTCAAAAAGCTCACTCACACTCACACTCATATGGTGTGACATATAAATTTTGTTAATGCTGATCAATGAGAAAGTTTTCTCTCAATAGATGAAAAGATATAAGCTAAATCACTGAAAATCAAGCCCCTGTTCGGCTGAAAATACCGCCATTGAAACGTTATGAAAAGATTAAAATCTCCCACTCAATGAGTTTGAGTGTGAGTGAGCTTTTAGAATACAGGCGTTAGTCTACTTAAATTATATATTTAACAAATAGATTACAATGAACCGTTGTCTGTTCAGTTATAGATTTCATTGTATAGGTTCACTGTAATCTATTTGTTTTATATAATAAAACTGAAAAAAATCCAAAATTAATTGAATTATTTGTTTGCAATTTAAAAACAAGAAAATTGCTGTGACGTCATTCCGTGCGTCTGTCCTCTTATAGATCATGGCTCTCGACCAATGAAATTGCTTGAATTCTTTACGTTATTATATAAATACGTACACACATATACGAACACACACAAAAACATACATATATACAGAAACTAAACATTTCCAGATTAAGTATAAAGTTTAGAACGAATAGAGTCCGATTGAGTGTTCAAAGATGGTGATAGTTCCTTAATATGCAACATCTCGAAAAGAAGGCAGCCATACTTTCCTTGGCATTTCCGAAGAATTGAAAAGCAACTCTCAAGCCTCGACGTATCTTCACCATGACATTCGATTACATGTTTCCCGATTACCGACCGCTTGTGTTCGTCAATGCGTTAATGTAAGTGTCGACCAGTATAGCCAACATAATCTGCATCGCACAGATCACATTTATATCTATATACAACGCGCTGTTGATTTACAATTGGTGGTTTAACTTCACGGACTTTTAACTCATCCTTAAGCTTTCTACTCTTAAAAATGGGCTTTAATATTCTACCGATCATCGAACCAAGGCTTGCAAGTTGTCTTCGTACAATATCAGATGACTTTTGATCTTTAAACGGCAGGGCTACACAAATTATATCCTCTTTTACATGTTCTGTCCGAGCAGAACTGTTGATTTCTGTATATTTCTTCGTTTCAAACTCTGCGATCATTGAGTCAATAAGTCTGAGGGGATATCGTAGATTGAGGAAGACGTTCTTTAAACGATCACATTCTTCAACGAAATGTTTCCAGGATGATGACAAACGGAATGCACGATTCAGCATGGTAACTATCAGAGATTTCTTATATCTGTGATCGACATGGCTTTGGTGGTGGAGGAGAAGGCCAGTATTAGCATAGGCAGCCCAGACTTTGACTTGCGCGTGTGATACTCGCGCGCGTGTCGCGCTTACGTTGTTTACTTCGTCTATATATTATGACAAGGTAGGAAAGAGTTTATCAAAATATGACAGATATACCTTCGTAAATGTATAATTATCTAAAAAAATACTTGAAGAAACGCCACAAAAACTACAACCTAATAATTACCGATGATTAAACTACATTACCCTGCAGTTTCCATGTTTTAAACAACATCTAAAGCCTTCAAATTAGCGAAGTAAAACAGAAATTCATACGGAATTTTGGGAAAACTATCCGAGGGTCACTCCGCCTAAGGAAACGTCATCTTTTTTGAGATATTAACTAAACGCTCATTGGTTCTCATTGGTGGTCCTGCAGGTAAGCCAATGAGCGTTTAGTTAATATCTCAAAAAAGATGACGTTTCCTTAGGCGGAGTGACCCTCGGATAGTTTTCCCAAAATTCCGTATGAATTTCTGTTTTACTTCGCTAATTTGAAGGCTTTAGATGTTGTTTAAAACATGGAAACTGCAGGGTAATGTAGTTTAATCATCGGTAATTATTAGGTTGTAGTTTTTGTGGCGCTTCTTCAAGTAATTTTTTAGATAATTATACATTTACGAAGGTATATCTGTCATATTTTGATAAACTCTTTCCTACCTTGTCATAATATATAGACGAAGTAAACAACGTAAGCGCGACACGCGCGCGAGTATCACACGCGCAAGTCAAAGTCTGGGCTGCCTATGGTATTAGTTGGTTTTATGTAGACTTTAGTTTCGATTTTGGTACCTGTTCTTATTGCCTCCATACCCAGGAAGGGCAGCTTTCCGTCAACTTCACATTCCATTGTGAAATTCAACGCTGAATGGCAGTTGTTCAAGGTGTTGAGAAATTCTTCTGCGGATGCTAAACTTTCTTGGGTGGTAATTGTGTCATCGACAAACCGGTTGTAAAAGGGGGGCATACGATGGTTATCCACAAGCTTTTGTTCAATGGAACACATGAAGCTGTTTGCCATCAAGGGGCCAAGTGGTGATCCCATAGCAACGCCGTCTACTTGTTGGTACAGTCTACCATCTAACTGAAAAAGTTGATTCTTCACGGCCAAGTTCAACAAGTGATTGAGTTCCGATCTTTCAAGCTGAAGGTGATATGTCTTGTTGAACCATTCATTATGGAATGCTTTGTTGACCAGGATTTCTATGGTCTCATCTACAAAGCACATCTCATCAATTTAAATTAAATCTGATTTATGTAATTAATATAATTTATTTTTCAAGCTCGCGTGTGGGTTTAAAGAGTCGACTTGTAGCAAGTCTACATGATCTTAAGCATGCTCGCGCAATATATACTAACGTGACATGAACCGTTTAAAATCAACGCAATTTAAATGTAATTATCATAACTTGAAAATGATGCACGTTTTAGCATCGAAACGTCGTTCAATAAAGATAATATCGCTATCATTTGTGTCAAAATTGTATTCAAAGAGATTTTTAATAAAAATGCTCTATTTTTGTACTAAATATCATACGCCAGATTACATATTTTTCCTTAAATGTGGGAATTTGCACAAACACTCGGTCGGGCGGAAATCTCCTTCGGGCGTCTTTCGGGCTGTATGTTTTGATATGTGTATCCTAGGAAACCAGATGCCCCGGAAATCGATTTTACCGGTAAAAATCATTCAGACGATGTATTTTATTGATTTTCAGCCAAACGTGTGGCTGTTCTTCGCAAATTTTAACGATGCGGTCGCATGTAATTTTGGGATTATGTTCAATCCGGACGGGGATAGTTATGAATTGCAAAAACAAATACATCAGATGAAATATGATACTTTAAGCTTTCAAATGAAACCTTCTGAGTATTCATAGGGTAAATACTTGCTAAGATAACCTTGCGTAAACAGAACGTACGGAAAATGGTAGAAACCTCGAGTCCGTAAAAGAGTTAAAAAAAAATTGATGTCGCAATGACTCACACAAGCTTTATTTAGATATTTTAAATATTCCAGCTAATATAACGCTGCGGTTACAAGGATCTTTAAGTAAAAATGGAACAGGACGTGTTGAAGTGTTCTTCAACGGACAATGGGGAACAATCTGTGATTATGGATGGGATTTTAAAGATGCTAGAGTTGTGTGTCGTCAACTTGGTTATCAAGATGCTGTTAGAGCTCTTCAGGGAGGTCAGGTTCCTCATGGTTCTGGACGCATATGGTTATGCGGGGTTGGATGCAAAGGAATGGAGCAGAATTTGATAAGTTGTCCTCATAGTGGTTGGGGAGAAAATTATTTCAGTCATGTCCGAGACGCTGGAGTAGAATGTGTTTCAAAAGGTAAAGATGGAAAAAAAAACATGTTAAGGTGGCTCTATGAGCAAAATCTACTAGCGTCCGTTAACTCGGACTTTTCTGTGCAATTGTCTGTGTTACTTTTCATCAGGATTGTGAACTTTAATGCCGTTAATCACGTACCCAAAGTAAGGGTCAAGGACTTTGATTTCTATCGCCAGTAATCAAACATTTTGTATGAAGTTGGGTGTGTGTTAGCTACAATTTCTGCTGGCTCAAAGGAAAGAATAAATTATCTAATTTTTGCGAAAATTGAAAATTTGCTTATTCGTTTTATTAGGAATATAATACCAATTTTTAATATTTTTTTTTGCTCTCACGGATGTCGTAAACTCACCTTTGGCGTCTCATCTTTTGTTAACAGAAGAATACTAATGGAAAAATTCATGTCGCGTAGTGAGTTTCGTTACCACGAATCTGCTCTCAGGTTTCGCTGCGATTTTATGTGTTATTTTCTTTTTTTTATAGACACAAATCAGTGAATTAGTCACTGCATGACATTCAAATAAGGGTTCTTATAAATCAGGGAATTCGCAACTAGTTACT